TTCTGGAATTAAATTCCTCAATTTTCTTGTGACTCTTAACCAAAGATGTCAATCATCAAAAAGAAAATAAATTACACACACATAGGGCATGTACAAAGTCTTGTCAGTAATTACCATAATTCTAACAATATCTACAAGATTATGAATGGGAAAATCCGGAAGTCCAACAGATGCCAGCTCTGTAGATTGTAATGTGTGTGCAAAGGAGGACAGTTGGGCTAATCTGTGAAAAATGAAAGAAAAATTTATCAATAAATATAATAATTCAATACAACAAACAAAAGAAAATATATTTTCTCTGGTTCTACTTATCACCACCTGGAAAACATAACCATAAAGTTTAATCATTATAATAATGTTAATTATAATAGTGGCCTCACAATGCAGTCACTTTATTACTAACAAACCTTTCTTGGGGTAGATTGGGGCATGACGATTGAAGGACAGCAAGCTGATCCTAAAAATGTAGTAACCCAATTGTCATTCACAGGAAAACAAAGTAACAAGTCATGACAGCAACAGGGACCCAATATAATTAAAAATGCCCGAGCTAAAACTGGGGAATAACCGGTGACATTCCTGGAGTACAAAAAGGAAACATAAAATAAAGTCAGTGATTAAACAAAATGACTCGTCTGATCAGAGCTTTTTCAGATTTTATAGCATGAAGAATTGAGAGAGGAATTTTTTACTCTCCCCTGGATGGGGCAGATTCTCTCCCAGACATTTTTTCATGTTTCTCTTGACAGTTTGCCAAAACAGATTTCTCTCTACATTCTAGTGATATCAATGTTTGTTGGCTGCTTGTTTTCACTGTATAACCATTCAACTTTTTAGCTGTTGGTCCACCTTTCAATCTCAATGTTAATCTTTCAACTCAGGAACAAACCTTAAATGGTAACAGATGAATGTCTCTTGCTTGGAATCTTGACCTAAGAGGAGGATCCAGTGGATTGCCATGGTAACGAGGCACAGGCAACCCAAGAGCTATAACTCTAAAGTCTTCACTGACTCTCACAAGCTTCCAGGCATCTAACTCTTGTCTACTATGTTCCTAGAAAGATTGAAATGGAATTTTTCATGTCTTCTTCAAACCAGACAAGCAAATAAAACACAATGTTCCCTATTTTGACTTATACTGTGAAAAAGTTCAAAGACATACTTTTAAAAGAGAGTCATATCTCTCAGCAGCCATAAGAAATCTTCCATCCTCTAACTGCATCTCCCTTTAAAGTATATAAGGATCCAGTCAATTGTGCAATTACAAAGAAATAGAGCAGTGTCCACAGCTCTCTTTATTGCTATTACTTTTTATATTTATTAGTTATTTTAACACTAGATTATGAAGACTTTTTCAGGCTGCATTCTGAGTTATCAGACTCTTCTGGGTTTGTAATTTGGCATTATTTGCATCTTTCCTCAGTTCTCCTTCAAAGTACCCTGCCCTTGCATACTTGTCCTAATAAAGGATCCTGATCCTACGTAAGAAACACCTACAATTCATCTTCATTCAGATTCATTAATCAAGAGAGAGAGAAGTACTACCACATTGTGATTCCACCCCACAACAATAAATATTACATTCAATACATAATCACCTGTTTTCCAAGAGGTTGTTTAACACAGGAAGTACATTGCGCTCAGCTTTTTCTATCCCCTCCAGTATCAGCACTCGTCCCTGAGTTGCAGCACGCACAGCACATTGATCAACATAATAAGCTGATCCTGCAGTAATTTCTCTACGCTGTTTTAGATCTGACTCAGTCGTGTCACGAGATAATGCAATGTACTCAACTTCACGTTTGGTCAGCTCCTGTGAAAAAAATAGCACAGAGTATTGACAAATAATCATCATCAATTATCATAATATTTCAGTCTAGGATTTCAAAATATTCAATTTTTGTTTCTTTGCAGCAGACAAGAATTAGAGCCACATTTAAAAACTCAGTAAAGTGCACAAATTTGTAACTAAGCAGAATACCTATATCTTAAGACAGAAAATGTTTCAAAAACAACCTTATACACCTTTATTAATTGCAAAAATAATAACTATTGATTTTTTAAAAAATATTACAGTATGTGGGAACTACGCAGTAAACAAAGTGGTATGTGACAAACCAAGTATTGCATAGCCAGCAGTCTTCTAGAAGGTCCTGGAGGTCCAATAAGAAACACATCCTGGCCTAATTTGTCCTGTTACAAAATAACATATCCATTATAAAAAGATGTTTTTCATCTTGTCACTAGTGTGAAATAATGAAAAAATTCTGAGTCCCCATGAGGAGCCACACCTTAGACCTTTGGATTTTGTGCTCCAATGCTCTACGACTGACTCCACAGTGAGTGAGATCTAATATGAAGTTCATATGACACACGTCCTGCATACTGCTAGGATCAGCAATGTTGATAACATAATGTTTTTAAATAGAACAATTTTATGTCTTGTCCCTTGCTCGTGATAAGATGAAAAAACATAATTTTCTATTTCTTTACCAAGCTCAAAAACTCACCATGTCTCTTATTCTATTTACAAACATTTTTTCATTGTCCCATGCTTATGGGAAGATGAAAAAACATCTTTGTCTATTTCTTTACCTAATTAAATGAACAGAATGGAGTCTTTTTGAGTGTTCATTATTAATAATAATAAACAACTTAAAATTTAATCATGAAAATTTCAGCAAAGATTGATAAAAAGTACTATACAATGGACATAGAGGGTCCTAATTTTACCAACTGGCAAATCATTGACCTCCAAAATTATTCCACTTTACAAATAAGAGACACTAATTTACTCCTAAGAAAACAAATCATGAAACAAACTTCTCCAAGTCACCTTTTGCATGATCCATCGCAGATTCTTTAGGACTGATTGGGGAAGTTCTCCATTAACTAAGGAAAGAAGATTACAGGGAAAAAAACTCAATCTTACCACAAAATTACATTTGATTATATCAGGAGATCTGTATAAAAATAAAGGCAATAGTTTTTGTTTGATATACAAACATTTTTTTTTCAAGATTTATTGGTACAATTACTCACCATACTTGACTGGAACTAACTCAGGGGAGGATGGTTTCCTCAATTTCACACTCACATCTCCAATGCTTACAACTCCGTCTGTATATGAAAAAAAGGTTTTGCAATTTTCTTGACATCTCTTCTTAACAAGGGGTAGATCTGTAAAATTTTATGCAATGACTCTACAGCAAGTAAGCAAGTGCCAAAATTGCCTCACATTGAAGGACCACATAAACTGGTAAGCTATTGGCACGCTGAATTTAACAATGTGCATTTTGGCTACTTGAAATGTGCTTGAAGGCAAATCCTCAAATTTTAACTTCTGCCTCCTCAATTACAGGGCCCTGATTTAGGATATTACATGCACTAATATGTCAGTTACTTAGTTTAACATGGCAACTCAGGGGGTGGGAGTGGGGGTCACACCAAGTCCACATGGTATTTGTAACTAAAACAATTTGAGGTGAACATAGGAATAAAATTGTAAACTGATCAAGGCATAAACAGAATACCCTGCCACTTTGGTCCACCTCATTTACATGTGTCGGGAGGCTTTCAAGAACAAGGCGTAACACAATAGACGCTATTCTTATTCAACGACATATAAATGAGTGGCAGGGTATTCCGTAGTTTAGCCCATAAACGCAAAAAAATGACTGTTGGGTCTAACTGCCTTCATCTAACTTCTTTATCATACATGGCAGTGGTAATATAAGATTCACTAACACGACTGTATGTGATACAAATTGAGTCCTAATATAAAACATTATATGTTGAGTAGCCGAGTCACACCTGAACATAGCGGTCTGAGAGAAACTTTGAATGAGTTTGCCAGGGAACTTAGACGCTTTGCAGCTTTGCCATTCGACATCAACAAACATCTAAACATCTGTAGGCAAAATATCTCTCCTCTACAGGGTACAAAGTTTGTGGAGACTCAAGAACAAAATTATGACGTAACACTTGTTCAACAACCATTCGAAACCCTTCACAGACCGTAAGATTAGAAGATCTTCTAGGCAAACGAATACTTTAAAGCGTCAATGTAGCTTTGAAGAGATCGGCATGATCCTTGATTTCCGTATATTCACAGGAATAGAGCCTTAAGACTACTTCGACCGCCATGATGGATCGCTTGAAATCAGTGAAAGACTGGAACCTACTTTTCTCATTATTCTATTTCTCCTTTGCTCGTTTACACTTTCTAAATCGCATTCCTCGATGTGTTGACGTAGGGTGGTAGTTGGGATTTTTATATTGTTTTATGTCTATTCGTACACTAGATTATTTTGTTTTGTTTTGCTTTGTTTGTTTTTATATTTATTTAAAGGCTTTATGGTATACCGAGAGAAATTACATTACTTGTCAGGAGCCCACTCTGCCTCCTAACTCGTTCAATATTTTGACACGCGTCACTGGTGAATTTAGCGTGACTTTATACTCCATTGAAATATTGGCCTTTTCTACATTGTTTACTCTTGAATGTATGATTATTTTCGCTGAAACATAGATCCATTGTAGGTGCAACAAATTTAAAATTTGAAGTCCCTGCTAACAACTACGAAAGAGCAGTTCCTTCGCCAACGTTTTTCGGGAAATGATACTCACACTAAGAGTAAAATAATACGCTGTCCGTGAAAGCGAGTTTTTGGTGGAAACGATGGAGATTTATCTTATGCTTGCAAATTTTCTATTCTAATGAGTCTTTTTTTTTTCAATTTGCGCGTGGCAACGAAACAAATAATGAAGAGTAATCATTCCCGCTTTTCATTTCGGAATCATGGAAAGCAACTGCTTAATACAAACTGGACGAAGTGTCACAGCATCATGAAGCTAATTCACAAGGAAGTGTAGCCCTTGTTGCATTCTTTGTAGAGGAATGATGTTCACTTAACGGTGAAGTTCATACTCTATATTTGGGTGTGATCTTTAGAACCGGAAGTGGAAATGTGATAGCACTCAAGCCATGGAAACCGCGCCTCGCTGCAAAAACTTCAATATGGCGTGAAGATGTGGATTGCGGAAAAAGCAGTGTATCAGTTGCAAAAAAGAAACACTTTCCATGAGGGGTTTTCAAGAGTTAATTGCTGTTTTAGATTTTGGTGAGGTAAAGGACACGGACAGCCTATTGGGGTGACCTGGCGAGATTCGTAATGCGCAAAATTCACTCAGCGTCATGTTCCCTCCTTTTGTTGCTCATCGTGGGTTCGATGGGCCCCACCTGGCAAGAGAAAGTTAAAAACAAAGGAAGTTATAGTGTTCCTTTGAGGCGAACGAAACGAGATCTACGAGATAGCCGAGGGAATCCAACTGAAAATTTGAAAGGACGGCCTGGGCAAGGATATTACATATCGACGGATCTTGGGAGCCCTCCTCTGAGAGTGAGTAAAGGAGATTTATGATTATATTGAGTGTCATGAGTCCGGAACAACAGCCTCTTTCTTGAGAAGTGTGAAATTCCCGTTTTTTACTCTATTTTTGACAAGAAATCTGCTTTCACTTGTTCTGCACGCCTTTCACGTTCGTAACATTTAAAATCTTGGCCTTAGCTTTGCCACCGAACGAGCTTCAGGCTCTTATTTGCATGTGAAAGTCATCAACTTTAATTAATGAAGCTTTATCGATAGCCTTTCCGATTTCAGCTTAATTTTTCTTATTTTTAGCGAAAACTGTTATTGGAAAATTTCAGTAAATAGAAAAGAGTGATGAAGCAGCTTGCGTCTTTATCATTTTCAGTTTACCATATGATTGGAAAAAGTTCAGAACTAAGCAACATTATGACGGAGAAATTCATAACATATTTCTCTCTCGTGATCAAATTTGAAGACTGATTTATTTCTGGGAAGATAACCTTGGTGCATTTTTCAAAATCGTTTGTTATCAAGTTGCCTTTTTGTTGCAATTGTAAAAGCAAATTTGCGATTAGGGTTGTTTGGAACATTTACGGGTGATAGCAGACTTGAATAGGTTCCCCCGTATTTACACGAATAGACGTGCAAAGGCTAGTTACTCAATATTGCACTTTTTATTCTCGTGCAAAACGAGTTGGAATATTGTTTCGTAAGGATGAAGAATTGTAAAGTATCATGAAATACGTGAGTGACATTTACGACCAGTATTGCGCTTCCAATTTCGGTATGATTTTGAGTATAAGAGTGTCGTATCAGCTGGGGTATTTCGTTACAACATGAAATAAAGGGATTCCACACGAAAATATAAACAGATGTAGTGTTAGAATTTTTTGAGATCAAGTCATGATATATTTTTCTTCCAGGAAAAATATTAGGTTAGCATAATTATGTAGTTTTATTTTCTTATGAAAACATGAGGGGATCTCTCTGTAGTTAACAGAGCTCAGATGAAGTAAAACAAAAGTACAAAAGCCAAAACGAAGGATTTAATACATTAAAAACTAATCCCAATAAAACAGAACAGAAATAGCGGTTAATGGTTTTAGATAAATCACACCGCCATTGACTTTGCAGTGTTACCTCAGGCCAAAACAAGAAGTCAGTCTGAAAATTCATTTTAATTTATAAAATTATACATTTCTGTTCCAACACAGAAAAATACTATTACAATATTTAGAGCAGTTTGGGCATACAGAAGGTTTGCAGGATACTGCCATCGACTTTGGCAATTCATTTCTTCCTCCATATCTTAATCATGAGATTTCATTTAGTGTCACCATGTTCCAAAGTGTCCAAAGTGTACTCAAAAGTTAACTTGATAATTGGAGTAGCAAAAGGGGGGGAAGGGGGGACATGGGGATTCCAGTTAATGTACAATGTTTACAATGTTTACAATGTTTACAATGTTTACAATGTTTACAATGTTTACAATGTTTACAAAGTTCACATGTCCCATCCTCGGTAGAATCTTACAGAATTTCTATGTGGGCAATCAAATAGGAAATCACTAGGTAGCAGAATGATCATCCAAATGTTAACCAATATTGTCCTAAAATCTTTTCAGATAAATGTCCTTGTTGATACTGGAAGTAGTAATTTTGCAGTCGCAGCATCTCCACATCCATATCTCCCCTTCTACTTTCGTACTGACAAGTAAGTAATGCTTATATCATCTTCATGTTATGTTTTTGGAGGATGAATATACTTAATACCTATGTTTATTCTATGTTTAATCTCTGTAACATATGACTTCCTAGTGTCTAAGTTCTTAGATTGGAGTTCAGTGTTCAAAGTTGCCATTAGCCATAAAGAGGCGAAAATAATATTTCAAAGTTAAAGTTCACCTGGGCATTGTATGTGAAGGGGGAGAGGGAAGGGTGCACGAGGGGTTTATGGAAGACATATACAAAATCTTGGCTAAAAGTTAGAAGTCAACTAAGACTCTTTGCTAAAGACTACATTAGTAATGTTAAATAGTATGGCATAATATTATGAATTTGATGCCCTTAAAACAAATGCTGTTATATTCTAATAATTGCTGGTACCATGCAGTTCTGACAGTAAAATTTATTTGAAAGGAAGGTGTAAGGTAAGTGAAAACTTATAAGTTCAATGTAACAAATATGTCATATTTGAAACATTTTTACAGGTCAACTTCATATCAAGATCAAAACAGACGTGTAGCAGTTCCATATACACAGGGAAACTGGGAAGGAGAGCTAGGATCTGATTTGCTACGGTTTGTTGAAGGACCAAATGCTACTGTTCGTGTCAATGTTGCAGCCATTCAGTCTTCAGAGAATTTTTATATCAATGGTTCTATGTGGGAAGGAATCCTGGGACTTGGCTATGCAAGATTATCAAAGGTTAGAGATTTGATTCTTTGTTGTTCTTACAGAATGCTTTGTTAGTTTGTGCAGCATCAATGAGAAATCTTCAATACTGCTGATGGACACATAGTCAGTGGCATCTTTGTATTAAGTGGTTGAAGGTGATTAGGTTGAGTCTTATCTTTCCCTTTACACTCCTTTGTTACAGTTATTCAAATGTGAATTAGAACTGAGTAGACCCAAAGTATTTTTCTTTGGTGTAAATGTGGGATATCATGATAAATTAGCTAACTCTGTGTTTCTTCCCAGCCCGACTCAAGTGTACTGCCAGTGTTTGATCAGTTTGTTAATGCTGGAGTTGTCAAGGATTCTTTCTCGATGCAGTTGTGTGGCAGTAGTGAAATTGACCTTTCTTCTGAGCCTACTGTTGCTGGAACAATGGTAAGTTTTAAATGGAATTTAAAATAATTCTGTTCTAGATGTAACTTTTCTCCTCTGTGGATTTCTTTTTGGTTAAGAATGTCCTTTCAATTTGTTTCTTGTGTAACAGGTTTTTGGGGAAGTTGATAATGAGTTGTATGAGGGTGATCTTCTCTTCACTCCAGTGGTAAAGAAATGGTACTATGAAGTTGTCATAACTGACATAGCAGTTGGTGGGGAAAGTTTGGCCCTGGATTGTAAAAAGGTAGGAATGAAATAATATTTGCCTAAGGTGTTAGATTCTTTTGTTGCACTGTCTTAAACCTATCAATAACTAAAGATCAGCTACTTAGAGAATAACTCATTTGGTGAGTGATGATCCCTGGATGTCTTTTTGGGGGTATCTTGTTTATGAGTAAATTAAAAGTGATGCAGCTTCAGCAGTTTATGTTCACCTGGCAATGCTGGGTAACCAAATTTGGAAGCATTTCCTTGATTTTTTTCCTGTCTGTCATATGCTTTATTAATGCAAAACACATTTCTTTCAGTACAATTATGACAAGACAATAGTGGACAGTGGAACAACAAACTTAAGAGTTTCAGAAGAAGTCTTTGATGCTATTCTTGATAGACTCAAGAAATTTGACAAGGTGAGGTTATTTGATGTGTTCTTATTAGAAGGCTCAACAAAACAAGTTTTTCTTCTTAAAATGGAGAATTATTGTTGAACTCTTTTCATGTAACTTGAAATTTTGCAGCTGGGTGTACCAGATGAGTTTTGGATTGGTCGACAGATGATGTGTTGGAATTATGACAAAACTCCTTGGGAGGAGTTTCCAGATATGTCCATTTCACTTCTTTCCACCATTAGTAATTCCAAGGAATTCAGGCTCAAGATACCTCCCCAGGTAAATAAAAGCTTTTGGTTACATTTGATACTAAACCTGGTAATCAGAGCCAGCTCCTAAACCACAGGTCTCCTTTTTTTCAGTGGTATAGTTTTTGACTTTTTATGTTATCATAAGTGATGATGATCTTTCTTACATTTTACAACACTTACCTACTAAACTGTTTTTTTTACAGCTTTATCTAAGAGAGACAATCGAACGTGGTCCTCTTCCTGGACAACACTGTTATAAGTTTGCTATAACTAAAGCTGACAAAGGTAAATAACAGTTTTAGGTAGTTTTCTTTATCATTTTGGTTATTTATAACTATGTTCATCAATCAGTTGTTGTTACACATTGTTTGTTTGCTTGTTTACTTATGTCATTTCAGGAACAGTGATAGGTGCAGTAATCATGGAGGGATTTTATGTTGTCTTTGATAGAGAAAATGTCCAGGTTGGCTTTGCAGCTACAACTTGTGGAGGTATCAATTAGTTATGGTTCATATGTTTCCTAGGTTATAAAAGCTAAGTTTTTCATTTGTCTCACAATGTAGTCATGTGTGATGTAGATTGTGACGTTTTGACTGCATACTGCTAGTCTTCAGGCGATGAGGTCAACTGGTCATGCGTGATCTTATAAAGCATGATGCTATGCTGTGATTAGTTGTTTTTCTACAGCTCTGATTGGTGCATTTCAATCCTTGCTGATCTGTGATTTGCTCCCTCGGTGGTTCCCTGTTGCATGGCTCTCCTGTTGTTGTGCTTTTTGATCGTGGGCATCCACGCTTCTGGAATTTCTATTTCACTATCCCTGTTGATGTTGTTATGGTGAAGTCTTGTGTGAATTGCCTGTTTGACCCTGCGCGTGTAGTAATAAGGGTCATGTGTTTCAGATTTTGATAGTGAATAAAACACAAGAAAAATAAAAACTGGTTTGCAAAATTTTACACCCCCAAGGAAAAAGTGGAACAACACATGTGACTGCTTGAATATCTCATTCTGGCATCAATAACTGTTTGTGTAAATAGAATTAAAGAAGAGGTGAGTTTTGAGCTCAGTAAAGAAATAAAGAAAGATGTTTTTCTTCTTGTCGCACATGTGTGGGACACTGAAAACATTTTGAGTCCCCACCAGGAATTGAACCTTGGACCTTTGGATTCGCACTTGTGACAAGAGGA